CCAGCCCTCTCCACACCGACAGCGAGGCCGGGCAAGCAGGTACCTGCTTGTTCTTGTACTTTTTCAGGTAGCGAGGAGACACCAGGCACTCGGGGTTGATGTCGGTGTTGATCTGTTCTGGGATCAGCTGGGGGTCAGGGTTCAGGTGCTGCATCTTCAGGAAGGAGAGGATGTTCTGCACCTCCATGCCGTAGGAGCTGTCGGCCATGGTCTTGCCCTTGGAGGCCAGGCGGCAGGCAGCCATCCAGCTGGCATACTGCGTCTCCTGCCCCCCCCAAAACACAGAGCCCTGCCCGTCAGAGAGGTGGGGGGCACACTCACCCCCCACCCCCCGCCACACTCCAGGGAGCCTTTATCTCCCTTCCAGCACAAACCCAGCCAGCGTGTAGGCTACAACCACGGGACAAAGCCAAAGGCAAAGCAGGGGCTGAGTTTCTGCTCCGAATTCACTCTGAATGTTGGTAGCAGACATGAGTGCATTTTCTATTTTTTTTTTAATTAACACCATCTATAGAATCATAGAATCGTTTTGGCTGGAAGACACCTTTGAGATCATCAATTCCAACCATTCCCCAGCACTGCCAGGTCCCCACTGCCCCGTGTCCCTCACACCACATCTCCACGGCTTGGAAACCCCTCCAGGAGTGGGGACTCCACCACTGCCCTGGGCAGCCTGGCACAGCCCTGGGCAACCCTCAAGGGCAAGAAATTGTTCCTCAGGGCCAACCTCAACCTCCCCTGGAGCAACTTGAGGCCATTTCCCCTTGTCCTATGACTAACCCTAGCACAGCCAAGCATGAGCTTGGTCCCAGCCCTACACTTACGTTATCGCAGCGGAGCCAGATTTCATTCATTCCCTCTGCCACTGGAATCAGAAGTTTGATGTTAAACTTCTGACCAGAGATGTTCACGTCAGGGGTAACTTCACATCCTGCAGTGAGAGAGGCAGAGTTTAACAGGGGCGTGAAGAGCTCCACTTTAAAAAGAGGAAAAACAAAAAGGAAAAGCAAATCTCTCCAACTAAAGGGTGTCCGATGGCATCTCAGTGCTGCAAAGGTCTGCCACTGCCTTTCTGATGGGATAAAACCCCTACACAGCAGAGACAAAGGCCATACCAGGTGTCATTTTTTCCAAGCAACAGGAAAAAAGAGGGGAAAAATGGCTAGACCTGATCTGAAAGCAACGCAGCCGATGCTAAGGTGCACCCACAGGATTCATCTCACAGGTCCTGCCTGGCCTTGGGAATGGACCCAATGGCTGGGAAATACTCCACAACCCAGAAACATTCATGGAAGGGCAGGACAAGGTGACTGGATGGGGGCTGACTCTCACCCTGAAGCCTCTCTATGTTATTTTGGGTGGGTGTGTCGCTGCTACAGCCAGCGGCAAGGTGTGAGCATCCCACTTTTGGTGCCTGGAGAGAACTACAAGCTGTTGTAGAAACACTGTGGGGGGTGATGAACTGAAGCAGCCGAGTCAGCCCAGGCACCACTTCACCACCACCTCCACAGATAAAGTCAGAAGCACCCAGCAAGCTCCTGCAGGCTGGGCTTTGCTCTGAGTGCAGCCCGAGGTCGCTCGGCATCCCATCTGCTCCTGCCTCCACTGGGAAAAAAAACAGAGCTCTCTGCGGTGTGGTGGCTGCTGGAGCAGGAATAACTTGACAGAAGAAAAGCCATCAGCCACAGGAATTCCAAAACTCATGTGCAAGGCTTGCAGGGAGTGCTCGAGCGAGGCTGCACCAGGGAGGGGAGGAAACGACATGAAAGGCAGAGGAGGAAGAGAATGGGCTGTTGTCTCCAGCTCCAGCTTGTCCTCCACTGTGGGAGGAGGTTTAATTCTTCTGGATAGTCATGACATAAAGGAGAATGGCAAGTTGGGGCCTCATGGTACTGGGGAGCTGGGGGCTCCTTGGGGTCACACGTCCCACGTGCTCGTTTTCTAGAAGTCGAAGTGTTTGCCATGCTCTCAAACCCAGCCACCCTCATTCCTTCAGCTGTGTTTACCCAGCCCTGGGGTGATGTGCCAAGAAGATAAAGCAGCAGGAAAACAAGATGTAAGAGGAGCAGCCTGTCAGTGGAATAAAATCATGGAATGCTTTGGAATGGGCCTTTAAATGTCATCCAGTCCAACCCC